GGAAGGGGAAAGAGGTCACTAGGCCTCACCTCCTCTTCTGCTCCCTCCAGTCCTGAGGATCTGCTTTCTAGTGAAAAGCCACTGCTTGGTGAGAACCCCAAGGATTCACCCTCCTCAAGCTAGGGCCACCCCGCTATTCCTGTCTCCTCTGTGACTACCTCCCAACCTTCCGCAGCGCTGCTCGGGGCGAGGCCTGGGTGCGGCCCAGGCAGCACAAGGAGCAGTGCGTATGGGCCACCTCATGGGCTGCCTCACAGGCCACTGGGAGTTCTCTCTGGCTTCCCTGGCCCTGTTCTCCAAGATGGGCCACTCCAGGGAAAGAGACAGTCACGCTTGAGGTCTGAGCTCCCCTCAGAAATGCCAACAGATGCTAAGAATTCCCATGCTAGACTCCAGAAAGCTCTGCCAGCTGCCCCTGCCTACCACCTGTGGCCGCCTCTCCACCGCTGGAGTTCCCAGCCCTCCCTGGCCCCCAGGTGCTCCCACTCAGCCGAGCGGAGGGTTTGTGAAACCTCTCCTGCCCCGACAGAGGCCTCATTCTTCCTGCTGCTGGCTCTCATTGTCCCTTATGACTCCACACATTCTTGGGCCTCTAATGAGAAGCGGAGACAGCCACCAGCCCTTCCAGCCCTGCTCCTCTTGTCAACACAGCCTGGGCCCAGCCGCCAGCCTGTGGCAGGAGTTGGGGGAGGGAGGCGCACGGGGGGAGGGGGGCATGCGGGCATCCAAGAGAGGGGAAAAGAAGGCTGGAGACAGAACAGAGGGAGGGAGGAGACGAAACTGGGAGAAACAGAACAGAGCCGCTAAGAGAAATTGTGAAAGGGGAAAGGCGGTGATAGCAAATGGAAACATAAGAGAAATTACGTTGGAAAAAACAGGAAAGGAACTAATATTTTACTGAGTGAAAACTATGTGTCATGCACGTACTAGGCCTCTGTTATTTATAATCATCCGGTTAATGCAAACACTATTATTATTGGCCCCATTTGGTAGATGAGAAAACTGAGGCTTGCAGAGGCTGGGTGGGCATTTTTGCTTTTAGAGAAGACGGCGGGAGAAGGCTGAGAGAGAGAAAGGAGAGAGCTGGGAAAGGAAGAATGCTGACGAAGGAAAGTGGAGGGCTGCAGTGGAAAACATGCAGAATGGGAGGAAGCAGAGAGGGATGGGGGAGCCGGCTGTCAGCTAGAGAGCAGACCTGAGGGATCCCTGACCTCCTGCTGGTCCCCTCAGGGTGATCTGCCTGACCCAAGAGTAGACACTCCAAGGGCCCTGCAGGTGTGCCGTCCCCTCTCCAGTAATAAGTCCCTTGATGCCCACACCTGCTGGAGAACAGAGGTCCAGCCTGGAAACTGAAGGCTTTCACTGGCGAATAGCCTGCAGCAACTCCCTTTCTGGCAGCCCCCAGCACCACCATTCCCTTTGAGGGCACACAGTCACTCTGATTCTCAGCCTACATCGTGGCACTCAGGCTGGAGAGGGTTCCAGCTGAAGGTAAACCGGATGAGGAGAGGAGTGGAGGCGGGGCTAGTGAGCCATTTGCCCTCCAGAGGAGAGAAAGCCACAGAAGTAAGGGGCGGGGGGGGGGTACAGACTGGACTCAGACCCAGAAAAGACTGACGAACTAGAATGCTCCAGTACACTCCCCACCACCAGAGGAAACCAAACACCAGGTGTCCAACCACTGCTCAGACTACAGCCAGATACACAGTAGGTGCTCAAGAAAAGGTAAGCATGGAAGGGGTTCTTACCCCTGGAAGGAAGTTAGAGCAAACCTAATGTCCCATTGACTCCAAGACAACGAATCGACATTGGAGCTGACTTCTCCTCTTGGAACTTTTTCATAGACTTTAGGGGGTGCTTAGAGCCCAGCAGCCTGCCTCTTTGCCCGTGGCGGGAACAAACCAGGACATGAGGAAGGTACTGAACAGGAGGCACTCACTCTGACCATCCCACACACTCTCACCTGGAGGAGAGTAAACCAGAAGCATATCCATGATTCTAAGGATGTTGGCTGATCGATATAGGTACAGATTTGTTGAATGAATGAATGATGAAGCTTGGAAGCAAAGGCAAGAGACCTAGGTTGTCCCATATCTCAGGCTTGGCGAGCCTGGGGCTCCCTCATGCCTCTACTCTCTGGGAAGAGGGTTCTTGTTGCGGGGCAGGTTGTGGTCACCCTGGCATCTAACTCCACCCACCACGGGAGTGAAATACTGCTGACACTTCAGAAGAGCCTCAGTGGTTTGATTTTGCCACCTCTGCCCTGAAAAGGCCTCCAGATTTGGAGCTGGGATGCGTCTGTGGGTACAGGCCCCGACCCAGAACTGCTCTGGGGGAAGACTAGTTCTAGGTAGACCAGGCAGCCTCCCATATACTGTTCTCCAGACCTGAGCCAGACCAGCAGTGTGCTTGCTACCAAGAGCAGGCTGACAATTCTATTTCTATACCCCGAGGTAGTAGCCATCCCCATGGCTCAAATTTCTTCTGTCCCCCAGCTCTGGTTCTACTCCAGAGTATGATCAGCTCAGGTTCCCTCTCAGTCACTGATTTGGGAGCCCCCCACAACCCAGGGTCGGGAGGAAGGATGTTGCTCCACTGACTAAGAAAGCAGAGCGGTCAGGCATGAATTTTCTTTTTCCCAAGGGCTTTCTCTAGTTGTCTCAGGAGCCTCAGTTCTGGGCCTTCTCAGGCAGAGGGAGCGCCCCACCTGACAGGGTCCATGGGCTCTTAGGAAAGGCGAAGGAGACCTGGTGATAGTCTTGGGCAATCAAGGCAGAGAGAGTCTAGGGAAGGAGAGAGCAGGGGCAGAAGCTGGGGGGTGGGTCTCTACAGGCTGGACCCTTCCAGCCCCTGCGTCTGATCTCTACTCAGCTCCACGGCTGGTTGTGAGAGGGAGAACACAGGGAAGCACTTATGTCACCAGGATCCAGCCTTCCCAAGCACAGGACCTGGGCCACAGTTTTGCCCCTGAGAGCAGTCAGGCTGTTAAAAAAGAATACAATAATGGGTCATTCGCAAACTCACCTGCATTTCAACCTGAGCAGTTCATGAACATCAAAAGGTTCTAATGCCTCGCCCAGGCCCTGTTCCTCCCCCTTCTCCTTTCCTCCCATGCCCTCCTCAACTCACATAGGGTGATGGTGGTCCAGCCTAGAGAATTCCACAGCTGGGCACTCCCAAGCCCCTGTGGAGTACCTCTCAGAGGAGGAGGCAGGCAGAGATAAACAGTGGGGAAAAAGTCTGCAGGCAGCCCTTCATTTTGCAAACACGCACTGAGCACATACGGACAGGCAGTGTGCTGGACACCGGGAGACAGCACTGGCAAAGGCACAGCCACCAAGCGGGCAGTCCACTGGGAAGACAGGCCCAGATGTGTATGTGCATGACTGCATTCAGAGCAGTCCCACCGCCCTGCGCGTGGTCTCTCCCACCACCCAGAGCCTTCACACTGCCTTTTCTGGGAATAAAATGAACTTAGCCCTCCCTAATTTGATGGATATTCTCGTGTGTGTGTGTGTGTGTGTGTGTGTGTGTGTGTGTGTTTGTGGAGGGGTATGAGCAGGGGAGCCCTTCTGAGTCTCAGAGGGTGCCCAACACCACTGCCTGGAAGTGCTGCCTGCTGGCTGGCTGGCTGTGTGTGTGTGTGTGTGTGTGTGAGAGAGAGAGAGAGAGAGAGAGAGAGAGAGAGAGAGAGAGAGAGAGAGAGATGAGAGAGAGAGATCTTCCTCTTTCTCCTGACTGTGACAGGCCCCATGGGGAGGTGGGAAGCTGGAACTGAGTGACTGAGATAGAAGCTATTCCCAGCCCCAAGCCGCAGCTGGGTCCTTCTGGAGGAGGAAAGCGGGGTTTGCAGGCCACCAAAACTGCTCCCCAAGGGGGCTTCTTAGAGGATAATCAATTCAGAGCTCTCCAGTCCTGGGGCTCCCATCCCAGCTTCTAAAGAACCAAATTTCTCTCCAAAGTTAGCTTCTTAAGGCTTAAGTTGGGCTAACTTGTTCACTGGCAGATGAAGCGACACTGAAAAGCCACCAGGAAAAAGTAAAATCAAACCTGAAGAAGAATTTGTTAATGAGGGTTGGGAGAGCAGGATGCTAGTGCTTCCAAAGCAAGGCTGTGGAATGTCGGTCAGGAAGGGAGGGCTCTCCCTGGGGCCCCCAGGCGCCCTCTCCTGACCAGTTTGGTAGAGGCAGGGGCTGGTGGCCAGCTGGGTTCCCTAGGGGCATCCAGCCATGGACCCTTTCTCAGGAAAGGGAGCAGCTATCCTCTCCATAGCTGTCTCCCCTGCCCCCACCCAGACCAGCGTTCCTGTTCCCTGGCCGGCCTCCAGCTCCAGCCCCTCTTAGGATGCAAGTGCCCTACGGCTGAGGAGGGAGGTGGGAGGAGGACCCAGGGCCAAGAGTTGATGGTTTTGCCCAAGGAAATGGCTTCTCTAGCCTCCCAAGCTGGCTCCTGAGGACTTCTGCCCCAGGGGTACCCAACACCTCTGCTTTTCCCGTCTTAGTGCCAAACAAATGCACAGGTGTCACAAAGTCCTGATCCCTGCCTCATTTATAGCCCCGTCCCCATCCCACCCCATACCACGGGGTAAAGGAAAGCAGGGAGGCACCCAAAGCGGGTTTCTCCCCGCCGGGAGAGGGAGACTCGGCTACCTCCTGAACCAGGGCTCTAGCTCCTTCTCATACTCCTCCGCACCCCACCCCCCGCCCCAATCCCACCAGCAGCAAAAACCTTTAAAGGGAACAAAGACAATGGGGGCGGAGCTGGGGGGCTTCCCTTTGGCGAATCTGGGGCGGCAGGTTGACGCAGCCCGCGGCTGGTCAGCGCCGACTTTCAGGTGAGTGCCTGAACCCGCATCCTGGAGTCCGCCCAAGCCTCAAGATCCCCTCATCGCCCAGTCAAACCCCCCGGAGAAGAGACCGGTCCTCCTCAGCCGATCGGTCCTCAACCCGGCCCAGGGGTTTGCAGCACTTTCTGCCTATTTGTTTTCGCTCAGTACTCACAGTTCGGATGCTAAGCCGTCTCCTCTCTTGCACTCACTTCCTTTGTCTCTCTCCCTCTCTCCCTTTTGCAATCTCTCTCTCTCTCTTCACTCCTTGTCTGATTCTCTGCTGTAGCTTCCAGTGGAGAAAAATAATTATTCTTCTCAATGGGTTCGCACGGGGCGCACGCACACACACGCGCGCGCACACACACATACACACACGCACACACCGCCGTGGTACCCAATCAATGCACAAATCTTCGGGGCCCCTTTAACCTCTGCGGTTGCTCCGGGAGTTAATTATGAAGCCTATTTCGGCGCAGCATAAATATGCATTAAGGTATGAAATGACAACCGATGCTCTTGAACTTCAGGGAATTGGCATTTAGACAGACTTCGTCTAGCCGCCTCCCATTCCCTCCATAGCCCCACCAGCCACCTCCTCAGCCTCGCGCCTTCCACCGGATCGCAGTGGCCACCGCGAGCTCCCACCCTGGGGCCAGGGGGCAACGTCGCGGCGTCGGCGCCACTCTCAGAGCCCGCAGACCCCCCCTGGCGCGCCCCCTGCGGTCCGGGCAGATCCTC